GACTGCATAGCTTTGGTGCCTGAGGTTAAAGGATATGTCATACCAACTCCAGCTCAGACAGTAACTTTGAAAGTTAAAAGGTGGCCTTCGTAGCTATGGACTACAGAACTTTGGCACTGGTAGCCCATGATTAAAATGTAGTAGAAAGATGAGAGAAAATCAAAGAAGTTCCAACCAGAACTGCTCTGTATTGGAGGCATTTGCAGACTAGACCCAAAACAGTTTTGCAGGGGAGCTCAGTTTTTCATTGAATAGGTCAGCAAAGTTGTTATGAAAGCTGGATTGCAATCTACTGTAGAGGCTTCTGTACATGTAGTGTCTTCATAATAGAATCTTAAGGAAGCTGAAGGAAGACTTCAAAAAGATGGGTCGAAAAAGCTCATTTAAAATGTGTGTATACAGAGAATGATACTGCATTATTGGGACAAAATCTGGGCTAGTGTGAACAGAAACAAGGGTCTTCCTCAGATAACAGATAGCTCATCTACAGCCTCTTTTAAAATACGTAAAGCTTCAATTTCACAAGAGGTTTGGCTGGGGAGGAAAGTGGGGAAATATATAATGAGTCCAAATAAAAATAGATGTTTGATTCATCATGGTACATTCTGTTCTTAAGATGTACTTGAAAACTACAATAAATTAAACAACACCAAAATGTTTATGGTGGCCACTGTGAATTAATTGTTTTTATTAACATAAGAATTGTAAAATCTTAGAGAACTATTTTCATACATCAATTGGAACGATTAGAAGCAACAGAATTTGGGCCTCATTGATTCTGTAGGGGCCAGGATTTTTTCTACTCTTCTCATTTCCAGAACATGACCAAACCAGCTTTTGAATTTGGTGTTAAAAAAATCCTTGATTCAAAAATTTATTTATGCACAAACTGAGCTAAGACAATGTCCACTGAAAAACTAGGTAAACATCTCAAATAATTTTTTATTGATTTATAACTTTGTTCATGTTTCCAAAACATCCAGCAGAAGCAAGGAGACCAGCTGTGGGCAGAAGTATGGATATTTTTCTTAGCTGCCAAAATAGATGTTGTTTTTCTTTTCCACTGTGTAAACTTTGTCAACAAAACTGATTCTATGAGTACCACTGAAATTCTTCATTGTATTCCAGACATGACTGCCACAAATTAACTGCTAAAACTAAAACTGGCACATTAGAACTGGCAAATAAAATTGGCACACTTCTTTGTCAGACTGCATGCAATTGTGCCATGTAGTCCTAGAAAATCACGGTTGATCCAGAAATGCTCTATTGTTACATTGTCATATTAAAACTCAGGAAGCTACATTAATTAAGGTTGTGGCAGTAGCCAACAAAAGCAATGAAATTCACAGCTAAAACTGATAGAAGCACCCTAAATGCTTTGTCTGGGCAAAGCTAGGGAACTTTGGACCTAGGTTAGTTTGAGGTAAATTTTTTCCTTTAATGATTAGGTGACAAATGTAAATACTATCAATTTTTTTTTATTCCAGCTTGTATTTTTAATACAGTTTGTCAGCTGCTACTCTATGCAGTATTTGTAACTCATGGCAATATTTCCAATTAGTTGGAAAGTGAAAGGAAAAAGTTACTGAAATATGAAGGTACATTACAGAAATAGTTCTTGGTATACAACACACCCCTCTGATGTGCAGTAGTTTAGATGAAATGTGTGTATGTACTAGTGCCACAGACTGGGGATTTTTGCTTGCTATGGTATTATTTCAGAGTACCCTTTCCTAACATAGTCCAACCATACAGTGCCTGTGGTACCATGTGTTAGGTGCCATAGCAGTCATCCTGCATTTCAGCACTGCTCTCCTGCAGAGTCTCTGCTTACTGTCTTCTACTTAACTGATTGTAATGTAATAAATAGCCATGTGCTATCGCACAGAACGAGGCATGGCTAATTATATGTATACAGTAATTAATTACGAGTTGAACCCGCAAGAGAGTGGTGCTGGTCTTTGAGATATATAATCAGACTGATAAACCTTGGGAGCCTTTCTCTTTTTTTTTTTTTTTTTAAGCAGGCATATGCAGTAGAGTCAATTTAAAAAAAAAAAACAACAGAACTCCATAAATGACCAAAAACGGTCTGTCTCACTGGCGAACCACAGCAGATAAAAGTATCTGCTGTACAGTATATGTGGTTAATAAACTGGGATATTTTGATGCGTCTTATGTAATATTAACAACATGAACAACTTTGGGTAAATCAATATTTCTAGAAATAATCACTTTAAACATTTTCCCTAAAATTATCTGTATAATGTATTGCAGTGGTTGGTGCAGTATGCTTGTTACATGTTTAAAGATTATTCTGTATACATGCAATAACAATTATACATATTTTTTTGCCTACTTGTACCTTGTAGTCTTAAAATACACATTTGACAATATTCCTTGTTCCTTAGCTAGTTTCTTTCTCCCTTGTTGCCTCAAAGCCACATCTGCTACAGTGCTTTCACTCTTGGCTTGATGTTAGGCTGTGAGTTTTCTTCAAAATGTGCTATGAGCAGAACTTCAGAGATCAGCTAGAGACTTGTACTGTAAAAGACTGGGGGCTTAGACTCTGGTGCCAGACTACCACCAATTAATTGCCCTCTTTTCAGTAGTCTGGGGAGCAGGTACTTGCTAGTCAAATTCCGAGTATGTGCTGTTAAGAAAGATGGCCCTATCCCATTAGCAGGAGGTACCTGTGAAGTTACCCACAGGAGCATTCAAATAAAACCAGCCTCTTCCAGACATATTTAGATTCTACCTCTCAGTATGCACCCATTCTTTCTTGATTAAAATAAACTAGCTTCCATCTTCCTGTCAGTAGGCAAATGCCTATGCTCCTGCTTAGGCTACATGGCATTGCTAAGCTATCAAGGAATTTGAAATACCCACAGGTATTTCCCAGTATATTTCAACATGTGATCTACAGTGGGTTGGGCCAGGTTAAGGCATGGTTCAAGGCCATAGTCTTGAACCTTGGTTCTGTTTCCAGAGATGGAGAGAGATCAAAATCCAACCTTTCATCTAAAAATAAAAATGTTTCCAGTGCATTCTGTTTGTTAACAAGAAAAAAACCTCTTGAAAATGTAATCTGTATTTGCCTGCCTGTCTCAGTCTGTAGACTGCTTAAAACATTAGCTCCAGGAGGTGTCAACTGCTCCATTTGTCCTCACTGTGAAGCATGTTGCCACATCTAGGAGGGGATGAGGCAGAGAAAGGGCTGCAGCACAGGAGTGAAGCCCTAAGGTCTCTTAATAGAGTGTATCTACTGGCTTAATTTAGACCAGCTGATAAGCAGAATTGAGGAGCTAGAGCAGCCTGATTATCCTTAACCATGTTCAGATGCCCATTCACCCAGTATAGGGATAATTCAGTTTTGTCAGATCAGAGTTAGTGATTTTGGTAGTGGAATAAAATAGTTAAACTTCACTTTTGCCCATGTTAGGAATTAGTGATTCACCCCTGGGTTTTACTGGGACACTTGTTTCCTGGAACTCTTTCTTGGGCTTTCCATTGATTGTTATTACAGATGTGAATTAGTCTCATTAAACTTTAATCCTGAGGTGGCATCCAAGAGAAATGCCAGTTCTTTCAAGGTCAGAATCCTGTTGTCTATGAGTAACAAGGAAGCCTGTTCCTGTAAAAAGGAACAGTTAGCCCTGTTGAGAGAACCCAGGTGTGGGGCATTTGGATATGCATTGAGTGTCACTCTAAGAGCTTTAAAAAGCTCCAGAAAGAGTTGGGCAAGGGAGGAGGAAGCAAGCTACGAGCAGATCAGCTTACTACAAAGAGGGACCAGGCTGTGCTGGGGCCAGAGTCAAAGGGCTCCCCTTCTGGTGCTTGGGACATGGCAAAAAATCTTGGTTTTGTTTATTTGTTTGTTATTGCATGAAGACTGTGCTTTCTTTGGGAGAATTGGCTGAGGTGCACCTCATGGGGCAAAACCCACCTGCAGAAGGCAGCAGGCTAGGCAGTCTGCTTGGAGTGTGGAACAGAGTTCTGTCCCCCAGCCTGTAATTGGCATGTCTGGTCAGTTGCTATTGCTTTGACATTTCTACTTGTGCTAAGAAGCAAAGTTTCCAATTTCCCCTTTGGGTGGTTTGAGCTGTACTGTCCCTATTTTAGGCTAGTACCCAGGGGCAACGTGTAGGGGGTGCATGCCAGGTACACGTGCACCCTCTGAATGTGGCGGTGCACCCCCTGCAAAAAGGGGTCATCAACGATTGCCCCTGGGCGCCGCTGCCAGTGGTGCCTGCCACTGCCACCGGCACTGTCTGTGGGAGCTCCTGCACTTACTGCTGCCGGGCTCCTGCCGCCACGTTCGTGCTGCCGCCAGCACAGCTATGCCCCCCCAGCCGCTGGGTGCACGCATTGTTCATGCTAGTATCTAAATATATAACGTCAGGATGGGAATATGGGCCAAATTAAATAGTGGGGAAAGAATGTCACTTACATCAGTGACATGATGTAAGTTAGTGAAATGGGATGACATAGGTTGTAACCTTACTTGTAGTCTGTATAATGAAAGCAAACTGACAAAAAGCATACATGAAGAATACATGGCTGACCTTAGTCATTGAGAAAACAGCTTTGTCTGTTTTAATGTACAGAAGTTTTATTTAAGTTTGGAGTAAGTGGGGAGCAATGGCCTTAGCTGATCAAGAGTTAAGATTGGATTGAGACATTTCTGCCAAAAGCAAGATTAGAATTGCCCGTGTTTATATCTAGGTATTGTGAAAATTATAAACTGAGTTGAAATTTAGGCAATGTTTTGAAATTAAAAGGGGAACAATTTTAACAAATATTTTGGGGAAAATGTACCTTTCATCCCTTTTTCTGAACATCTTTATGTGCTTCACATTTAAGTGTACAGTCAAGCTTCCCACCTCACCAGCCACATCTTGTTCTTAACATGTTCTTGTGCTACATACTTTGCTCTTCAAGTTTTGGTCATCAAATATTGCATGCAGTTTCATTGCCATATTTCTCTAATTTTGCAGCTTCTCCTCATATTGATATTCCTGTAGAAGATGATGCTGTGCATGTAATTAAAGTGGTAATACACATATTTCAATTCTAAATAATTTAATTTAAATCCAATAGCACTTCCTTTAACTCTTTTTTTATTCTTATTTTGAGTGTTGAGTGACACTGCATGCTTTTCTTTTGTTCTTGTTACATTTTATCCATTAGAGATAAGTCTGGCATTTTTTTATTGCATTCCTAGCCATGGACTTCATAATGAAAAAAATGACTGAATTTAAGAATATATCATAATTATACCTGGGAGGAGTATAAGAATATTGCTCAGGCACTTGGGGATGGAATCAGGAAGGCAATTGGAGTTGCAGCCTACAAGGGACGTGAAGGGTATCAAGAAGGGTTTCTGCAAGTATGTTAGCAACAAAAGGAAGGTCAAGGAAAGTGTGGGTTCCTTACTGAATGCGGGAGGCAACCTAGTGATGAACGAGGAGGAAAAGGCTGAAGTACTCAATGCCTTTTTTGCCTCAGTCTTCACAGGCAAGGTCAGTTCCTAGACTACTGCACCGGGCAGCACTGTTCAGGGAGAAGGTGAAAGAACGGCCTTCAGTGGTGAACGAACAGGTTGGGGAATATTTTACAAAGCTGGATGTGTACAAGTCCATGGGACTGGATGCAATGAATCTAAGGGTGCTGAGAGAGTTGGCTGATGTGATTGCAGAGCCTTTAAAAACTTGTGGCAAACAGGGGAGGTCCTGGATGATTGGAAAAGGGCAAATATAGTTCCCATCTTTAAAAAAGGGAAGGAGGAGGATCCAGGGACTACAGACAAGTCAGCTTTACCTCAGTCCCTGGAAAAATTATGGAGCAGGTCCTCAGGAAATCCATTTCTAAATACTTTGGGGAGAAGAAAATGAACTGTTCAAGTGTAGGGGGGGCTGGACCTGATCTGTAAGGTCCCTTCCAGCCCCTAACATCTATGAAACGGGAATAGTCGGCATGGATTCACCAAAGGCAAGTCATGCCTGACCAACCTGATTGACTTCTATGATGAGATGACTGGCTCTGTGGATGTGGGTCCCATAGCATTCTTGCAAGCAAGCTAAGAAAGTATTGGTTGGATGAATGGACTATAAGGTAGATAGAAAACTGGCTGGATCATTGGGCTCAACAGGTACTGATCAATGGCTTGATGTCTAGTTGCCAGCCAGTATCTAGTGGAGTGCTCCAGGGGTCGGTTCTGGGGCCAGTTTTGTTCACTGTCTTCATCAGTGACCTGGAAGATGGCATAGAGTTCATCTTCAGCAAGGTTGCAGATGATACCAAGCTGGGGGAAGTCGTAGATGTGCTGGAGGGTAGGGCTAGGATTTAGTGACCTAGACAAATTGGAGGATTGGGCCAAAAGAAATATCATGAGGTTCAGCAAGGACAAGTGCAAAGTCCTGCACTTAGGACAGAAGAATCCCATGCACCAGTACAGGTTTGGGATCAACTGGCTAAGCAGAAAAGGACCTGAGGGTTACAGTGGACAGTAAGCTGGATATGAGTCAACAGTGTGCCCTTGTTGCCAAGAAGGGTAACAGCATACTGGGCTGCGGTACTAGGAGTGTTTCCAGCAGATTGAGAAAAGTAATAATTCCCCCCTTCTGAATTGGTGAGGCCACATAGAGTCATAGATGTTTGGGTTGGAAGGGATCTCAGTAGATAATCGAGTCGGACCCCCTACCCTGGGCAGGAAAGAGCACTGGGGTCAGATGACCCCAGCTAGGTGCATGTCTAGCCTCCTCTTGAGGTAGGGGAGAGCACCACCTCCCTTGGAAGCCCATTCCAGATTCTGGCAACTGTTACCATGAAGAACGTCTTCCTGATGTCCAACCTAAATCTACTCTCTGTCAGTTTGTGGCCATTGTTCCTAGTTACCTCCAAGAGGTGACCTGATAAACAGAGCATCTCCTATTCCTTTCCCCCCCCACCCGGTGAATTTGTAGGCAGCCACAAGATCACCTCTCAGGCTTCTCTTGCGGAGACTGAAGAGATCCAGGTCCCTCATCTGGAGTACTGTGTCCAGTTTTGGGCCTCCCACTATGGAAAGGATTTGGTCAAGTTGGAGATAGTCCAGGGGAGGGCAGCCAAAATGGTTTGGGGGTGGGGGCACATGACTTCTGAGGAGAGGCTGAGGGAACTGGAATTATTTATCCTGCAGAAGAGAAGACTGAGAGGAGATTTAATAGCAGCCTTTAACTATCTGAACAGGGGTTCCAAAGAGGATGGAGCTAGACTGTTCTCAGTGGTGGCAGATGACAGCCCAAGGAGCAATGGTCTCAAGTTGCAGCAAGGGAAGTTTAGGTTGGATATTAGGAAAATATTTTTCACTAGGGGGGTGGTGAAGCACTGGAATGGGTTACATAGAGAGGTGCAGGAATCTCCTTCCTTGGAGGTTTTTAAGTCCTGGTTTGACAAAGCTCTCGCTTAAATGATCTTGTTGGGGGTAATCCTGCTCTGAGCAGGGGGTTGGACTAAATGACCTCCTGAGATCCCTTCAAATCCCTAATTTTCTATGATTCTATGAGTCTTATAAATTCAGAGTTACAATATTTTTTTTAAATACAGTTTTCTAAGCAGTTCTTATTTATTTCTATTATGTGCTTTCTTTTCGGCATGTGTAATGGTTTTTATTTATTTTTTGCAAGTGGAAGTTACTGGTTTTAAAACGGGCATTTTGGCTATATTATATGAAAAATTGCCTCTGTCAAATGTTATAATCTATCATTAAGAAGAAAGAAATAATAAGTCATGTAGAATTTACATTCCATTATGTAGGTAATCTTTCTAGTTCTTTTTTTTATTCTAAATGCACTTATTTCTCTGTAGGAATACCTTGAAAATGGGCCGTTGTTTTCTGAACTGAAATTTTACCAGAGAGCTGCAAAACAGGAGTATAGTAAGTTTATATTAGCAAAACAAATCATTCTAATTAAGCATATTTTAAAACGCATATCTTTTTTTACAGTTATAACCTCTTCATGCTTTTTGTGTGTCAGACTTCAGATGGAAGAACTGATTCTGGTCTAAGCGACATTTACTTGCATTTAATGTGATTTGAAGTTTGTGATTCCCTGCAGGTTAAATGGGAACAGAATCTGGCCCAGTTGGTTGCCAGATTGTACAAACCCATTCACACAAACATCAGAGGGCAAAACCAAGCAAAGCTAGGATTATGGCCTTGTACAAGCCTTACATTTCTACTGGGAGAATTGCCATTCTCCTATCAGAAATCACAAGCCTACAAGCGTGCATTCCATTTCTCCCAAAACTGGGGATTGCTCAGTTTGGGGAAGAGGCAGGGAGCAGGAGCTGCTGCTTGCCTCCCCTTTCAAACTGGTCTGGGAAGGGGAGGCAAGCAGGGGAGGCAGACCAGTTTGGGAGGAGAGGCAAGCAGTAGCTCCTGCCTCTTCCCCAAAGTGGGTAGTCCCTAGTTTGGGGAAGAGTTAGGGGGCTTTAGCCTGCTGTTTCCTCAACTCTTCTCCCAGGGGAAGCAGCTGTGTGGCTCTTAATTCTGTACAAGGAAGGCTGTCCCCCATGTGGCACGTTCAATGTCAGTGCTTGCCACCTTCATTTTGCTTTTCCCACTGCCCAACTGGGATGCAGATCAATGATTTAGAAGCTGGCAGGGATGGAAAGTGGGCTTGGGGAAGGCTTTTCCTGTTCCAGTTCCTGGCCCCCAGGGCTGTGAAGGCTGTGCGCGCTCCCCAGCTGGGAAAGCAATCCTCAGGACAATGAGGCAGTGCTCTCTGGACTTCCCCAGAGCAAGTCTCTGGTTTGGGTAACAGGCTGAGTTTTTCCCCACTTCTCCAGTCACCCTTTGAACTGGTGTATGACAAGGGAATGGGGTGGTGGGGAAAGACTCTCTTCTTGTTCCCTAGACCTGGTTATCCCTACACTTCCTGGTTATCCCAGGGACTGCCTGGCCTGGGGAACAGGCTAAGGTTTTTTTCCCCATTGGTCAAGTCTGGGGTGTCTTTCTCTGCCATTCAACTCCCTTCTCTGCCCTCCCCTACCAACCTCCAAGAGGAAGAGC